GGTTATGTGAATGTTAGTTGTAAGCATTTATTAGTCGAAGCTGCAAAAGCTGGCAGATTACCACAAACATTGCAAGAGGTTGAAATCGGCACTATTGTTCCTGGTTATGTGAGAAACATTACCGATTATGCAGTTTTTATAAGTTTCTTGGGCGGCTTTAGTGCGAAGGCTATGAGACACGTAAATAAATAAATATATATATTTTTGTCAATTTCAGAGGTTTTGTTTGAAACATTACTAAATATACACATCTAAAATTCAGATGATTGCTGATCATTATGTTGCTAGTCCCGTCGGAATATTTTATCCTAATCAATCTGTTATATGTCGCATCACATCGATTGACACCGAAAATTCAAGGTGTGAGGTTTCATTGAAACCTTCGGAAGTAAACATATCTTCTCTCCCATTCATTACCAAAGGAGATTTCATTAAATCATATTTTTCGGATATGAGTGAATGTAGACAATTGTCAGTAAAAGAACAAAAAGTTCGGATTGGCGAATGTGTCAAATTTCAGGTGAAAAAGCAAATATCAAAACAAGAAATGCACATTTTCAAAGCAAGAATTCTTTTAAAGGACGATGAGAACGTCAAGATAACAGTATCTATTAATGAGGATCACGCTGGAGGTTGTGAAAATATGGAGGAAGGTGTCATACTGCGCGGAATCGTTCTCGATTTTGATGCAAAGGGAAAGCTTGCAGATATATCAATGAGGTCTGAATTGATGAATGAAAATAAAATAACTAGAGAGCAGAACGATCAAGAGATTGATGGACCTGAAAATGATCTTGATCTATTCTTCTTGCATGTAAGTTTCGAGTCTGAGGTCCACATTTAACATTTTTCTTTAAAACTAGTAACTTACTTTCGTACCACTAACTGAAACTTTAGAGAAAGGAGCTTAGGAAAATATCAAAAACCGGTAAAACCGTGGATGCAATAGTTGAGCTAGTAAAAGAAGATTATATAATTGTATCTCTTCCAGAGCAGGGCAACACAATAGCTTTCGCTGCTTCCAAATATTATAATGATCGTTCGCAGCCCTTCATGAGATATAAGTTTGGGCAGAGAGCAAAAGCCCAAATTACATATGTTCCTCGACATAAGGAGGACGCTAATTCTGCGAGTAAGCATGGATCGATTGATCGTGTTCTGGTGACACTTCAATTTCCCACCGAGCAACAAGAACGATCACATTTGACCAGTACTAAAACCCTTGAAGACTTTTCTCCGGGGGAAAAAATTAAGGGTACTGTTACAGCAGTCGAAAATTACGGAATATTCATTAAAATCAATGACACATCTATCAGTGGATTGTGTCATATATCAAAAATATCAGACGAGTTTGTTAGAGATGTGTCTGCATTGTATAAGGTTGGGCAACGCGTGACAGCGGTGATCTTGGGTATAGACCATAAGACCCAAAAGATATCTTTTGGTCTTAAAGAATCATGCTTTAAGGCTCACAATTTGGAATTGTCTGATGATTCTGACGCGGAGCATGTGATGGAGGTCTGTTTTCAAATCATATGCTATGCATTCCTCGAGAAATTATTAGCCACTCATTGTTATTTTGATAAAACTTCCTTTTTAGATCGATGAAGACAATAAACTGAATAACCCTGTGGAAATGAATCTTCAGTTAGACGACGACGACGAGGAAGAATATGATTATGCTGAAGTTGAAGACAATGCGATGTCTATTTCTGAAGATGAATTAGAGCAAGTTGAGGTTGAGCCATTGCCTTTTTCTGGTACCTGGAAGTGGGAAAACGAAATTGAGAACAAAGAGCAAAGTGAAAATATAATCGAACATTTGTCTGGTCGTGATACTTTAGACAGTATACCAGAAAATAGAAGGAAAAAGAAAAAGATCAAAGCAATAGATATGGAAGATAAGACAGAGGATCTGTTAAAGAAGAAACCGGAGGTCAATGCAGATTTTGAAAGACTATTGTTAGGATCACCTGATTCTTCCTATTTATGGATCAGCTACATGGCTCTTCAACTTCAACTTTCGGAAATCAATAAAGCGCGCGAGATTGGTGAACGTGCGCTTAAAACTATTAATTATCGGGAGGAGCAAGAAAGATTAAATATATGGGTTGCCCTTATGAATTTAGAGAATAATTTTGGGACAAATGAGAGTATGGGAAATGTTCTACGACGGGCTTTACAGACGTGTGATCCGAAAAAGATATATCTTCTGCTCGTGGGAATTTATGAAAAGTCCGGCAAAAAGGAGGTATAAAAGATAAGGTTCTTTATTCGTCCTGGATTTTTTCAATCTTTCATTTTTAACATTCTTTGCCTACTATTCTAAGCTTGCACAGCAAACGTATCAAATTATGATCAAAAAATTTTCGCAAAGTTCAAAAGTTTGGACAAAGATGGGTTTATTTTATGTTATAAATGGTGACATTCAGGCATCACGTGATTTACTTCAGAGAAGTTTACAGTGTTTGCCAAAGCGAAAACGTATGTATGCATTATCATGTCATGTATTTCGACTCCCCTTTCTCATTGTAATGCTTGTTATTCAATATTATTTACACAGACGTCAAGGTTATAACGAAATTTGCATTAATGGAATTTAAACATGGTGAAGCTGAAAGAGGTCGTACGATCTTTGAAGGAATGATGAGCAATTATCCTAAGCGCGTGGACTTATGGTCAATATATATCGACATGGAATGCAAGGTTGGAGACCCGGATACTGTTCGGCAAGTATTTCTCGATTTTATCGGGTCGCGTGTTTATCACGTAATATATGCGCCATCTTTAATGATTTTATACTTTAACAGGCGGCTTTTCCAAAGGATCACAACGATGAAGTTCTCGTCTAAGAAGATGAAGTTCTTTTTTACAAAATGGTTAGCATACGAGAAGAAACATGGTAATGAAGATCAGATTGAAGATGTCAAAGCGAGAGCTCAGACCTTCGCAGAATCACTAAATTAAAATTGAACGTATCATTAATTATTTCGATGAGCAGATTAATAGTCAAAAAATTCATTCTTGTCATGATGGCGATTAAAAAATTTCATTTTTAACAATCTTCACATAGTAGAGCATTCAATTTTCCCTTACTTAAAGTGAAAATAAAATAAAAAAAATATTGATTAAAAGTTTATAAAAACAATAATCTGGATCACACGGAATGTAATCACGTTTTGTGAAAACCATGTAAAATTTTGTTAATACATAGTTTGCAGGAAAATAGAATTTGAAGATATGAAAATTTATCAGCTCTTGGCCTCCCTATTTTATTTTTATGGGTCTAGCGAAGCACTAAAGGAAGATAAAAAAGTTTTGCTTGCAGATGTAAAGACAATAACCTTTTATCGCGGGAAACTTACCACAGGTCGAAGAAATGAGCCAATTAGACAAATGCAATGTGTCGGAGGAGATGCTTGTCATGAGTTCGTCCCTGGTAAGTTCCAATTATCTAATATTCGTCAAAGGATTTTTTATTAACAATTTTTTGCGTATTTAGACGTGGTACAATGCACGAATGTTGGATCTGATGGAACAGGTCAGTTTCTGTGAGAAAAGTTTTGAAATACTAGGTTCAACTAACATTTTGTCGTTTCAAGACACCAATTGGCGTTGTGATGCAGAACTTCCCAAATCTTTGAAATTTGGACCTGTACGTACTCTACTTTTTATTTGAGTAAATTTAACTGATCAATAAAGCGAACCAATAAGTTGATGTTGAACCGATAATACAAGATAACAGTGTCCTGCGAAGGTTGCTAGCCTCTTTTTGCTTTTTCTTGCGAAAAACCATTATTATAATTATGCATTCATAACAATAGGGTACAATTATCCTGAGGATCCA